GTCTCTTCGCACCCAGGTACCTCATCATCCTTCAATACTTGATTATAAACTGTTAATTTATGATTAGATTGTGGCCTAATTTTGCTAATTGAGGTAATAACAGTACCGGAAAACAAATATTTGAGCTTTGAGTGGCAACTTCTAATTGATATTTAAATTGGTATATTTTCCTGATTCTGAGCATGTAATTTCTCGAATTTATGATTTATATGAGTTCTAAAGCTGTTAATTTAATGCTGAAATTCCCTTTTATTTAATACAAATTATGAAAGTTTTTAATAATACAGGTCAGATTTCTAGTAGGTTTATGCTGAAGAGTTGGTTTTAACAAGAACCTAGATTATTAACCTTAATTTATTCTATCAGTTCAAAGTAAGGGATAAGAGGAGGGGTAGGGGTTGAACAGAGAGGAAGGAAAAGATGTCGGGCATGGGAGACGGATATGTGGGCACGGCCCAAGATGCCGTGAGGATCCGAAGGCTTGAGAAGCAAAGAGAAGCCGAGCGCCAGAAAATTCATGAGCTCAAAAGCAAGTCAGCCAACGATACAGGCCAGCCGGGTCTCCTCCAATTCGGGTCAAGTACCTCTGAGGTTTGTACTTGAAACTGAACTCATATCTAGGCTTTAAAGTTCCCCATGCGCATATATTTCGGTGTCAGAAATCTTAGGACTTTTTAATGTTGGTTCTGTGTACTCTCTGGTTTATCAATGATGAGAAGCATGAAAGTTGTGAGACTATTCATTCAAAAAAAATTTCTTGTCCTTACGATTTATGTGGTACCAAATAGGTGTGTTACAAACTTACAATAGATATAGATAACAAATTTTGTACGGACATAATTTTTGTCGTTGATTAATGATTTTCTTGATTGATATTTCAGATTCTTGAGACAGCATTTAAGAAGGAAACCATTGGTTTGGTAACAAGGGAGCAGTATGTGGAGAAGGTAAATACTAAACAACTAGGATTGCTTTCTTTTACTTATACTAATGGAAGCATATGATGGTTAAAGTGCGGTGCTTGTGCTGTGAATTTATGTTGTAGAAAGAAAATATTAAAATCAAATTTGAGGAGGAAGAAAAGGAGAAACTTCAGAAGCTACAACAAGAGTGAGTTTCGTAACAGATGACTGTGTTGCTGTTTGATTTATGAACATCTGAAAGTGTTTATATTTGTCAATGACTGCAACAGTCTAATTTTGTTTTTCCTTTTATAATTCAGGGAGGAGCTTCTTCAATTACAAAAGCGAAAGAAGAGGAAGGTAAAGGGGGGTTCTCGATTGTCCTTCGCAGATGACATTGAGGATGGAATTGAAGAGGAAGATGGTGAACATAGTAAGAACTTCTCTCCTTAAAGAATTAAAATTTTTATTCTGGTTATGCAGTGCCTTAAGTTGCTCATAGGATTCATATTGTTCTTATTTTTAATGACAGACTGTCACTAAAGTTTATTGTATGGAACTTTGTAGATTGATTTGGCATTTCTTTTCACCATTTTATGTGACATATTCTCCCCTGATGAACATTAGGCATAGATCTAGACTGATATTTGTTGCAACTTGCATGTATAGAAGCGTCCATTCTAATTTTTTGATGGGAGGCTATATTTAGATACTTGATGTTTTAGTGGTCACTTGAGAGTATTCTCATCTAGTGTTTTTTGTGGATGCCCACTAGAAACTTAATGCTGATTCTTGTTCTACAGAAAGCACAGAGGCTACAAGATTACGGTGCAGTAGACTTGGGAAAGATCCTACAGTGGAGACCAGCTTTCTGCCAGATAGGTGTAACATTTTTCTCTTTCTTGCTCTTATGCACAAACATTTTTATCCCTCCCTCTTATTTCATTCTGTTTCAGTCTAGCATTTGAACTTAAGAGGTGCTATGGATGTATTTCAGTGAGCGGGAGGCAGAGGAACAAGCTGAGCGTGAAAGCTTGCGGAAGCAGTGGCAGACTGAGCAGGACAAAATACGAAGTAATTTTGCTACCCTAATTTTCCCTGAGTTTATCTCCTTTGCCATTAATAAGTTTTGAAAGAAATTTTTACTGTGTTTTTTCAGAGGAGGCACTTCAAATTACTTACAGCTATTGGGATGGAACTGGGCATAGGAGAGTGCTCAAGGCAAGTAAAGCATGCTCGACTTGCATTTGTTTTCCCTTCATGATTTCTCTTTTAAAATTGAAGCTATCGTTTTTTCTATTATTTTTCATATTCTCTTTGTTTCCATTCAGGTAACGAAAGGTGATAAAATAGGAGATTTCCTTAAGGCTGTTCAACAGCAACTTGCACCTGAGTTTCGAGAGGTGCGAACCACCTCAGTGGAGAATTTGCTATATGTAAAAGAAGATCTTATCATTCCACATGTAAGAAAAAATTGTTAGTGATGCATTTTCTTGGTAGAAGCTTTACTGAATAAATGCTAATTAATTTCTCATCACTTGTGTCATGGTTGTGGAAGTACAGCAGCATAGTTTCTATGAGCTAATTGTAAACAAGGCCAGGGGAAAAAGTGGACCGGTAAAGTTCAATATATCTTGTTATTCTTCTTCCATCATTTGGAAATATTGTATTAAGGTTTAGGTTTGTCTGAAATTTTATTGTAGGATGTGCTCATTGATGGTGACTCATTACGATTTTCTGTTGTATTTTGCATAGCTTTTTCATTTTGATGTGCATGAGGATGTGCGAACAATTGCTGATGCTACAATAGAGAAGGATGAGGTACATTCTTGTTTCTTTTTTAGTAATACTCTATTGCATAGAAAGTTTCCAATACTAAAGAAATGAAAGACAACCATAACTAAGTTAATGCCATGGCTTGACTATGCTTGGATATACGTTTCAGGTATCTATTTCTGGTAATGACATGGCTCTCTTCGTATTCTTATATCTTTGCTTTTATTTTTGTGGCAGTCTCATGCTGGGAAGGTTGTTGAGAGGCATTGGTATGAGAAGAACAAGCATATTTTCCCTGCTTCCAGATGGGAGGTACCCTCTCTCTCTTACTCCCTCTCTCACTCTTAGGGATGGGCAATGGTTATGGCGGGCGGGTAACCGCGGTTATTTACCCATAACCGTTTACCCGTTGGGTATTTACATAAATGGGTATACCCATACCCATAACCGTTTATAAACAGTTAACCATACCCATAACTGTTAGGTATACCCGTTGGGTAGTCACTCTCTCTTCGTATATGTGTGTTATATATGGTATCTATGTCTGGGAGATGTCTACAACGAAGTGTCCCTTTCGCCTTTTCACTCTAGACAGGCTTGATAGGGTGGTATACTGCTTGCCATTCTATAAATTGCATCTCTCGAGTATTAACTACAGTGCTTGAGTATCAAATTTCTGTGTATGTAGACTACATACACAGAATTGCATACTCAAAAGCACTATAGTTAATGTAGTGCGACCAATATCCGACTATTGTTGATAAATTTAATTTTTACGTGGGATAGCATACTGTGTGCACCAGCACGGGCGGTAAATAAGTTTGATTATGGGAGTGCGGTTCAAATCCCTAACCTCTCTCTTTCAGTGGGATGATTGCCTACCGTCTTTACTACTTCATCTGAGTATTTAAGACATGTTTAATACCGTCTTTACTACTTCATCTGAGTATTTAAGACATGTTTAATATATTTGAATAGTTAACATCAAACATAGAGTTGCAGATGAGGCTTCATGATTCTTTCTTCTTTTATAGCAATATGGGATTTTCACTTTTTGGTTTTGAGTGACAATATATCCACCTTAAAAGCGTATAGACCTATTATGCCTTGAATGTTTTCCGATTCTTTGATTGAAATAGCGGATAGTTCCTTCAAAGTTTGCATCATTTCTCTCATAATGTTCCAATATCGATATTTCTGTGTTTTTAGTTCCCCGATGTTTCTGTTTACAGAGATACTCTACGCCGTTGGGTATTTGTGTATGATTCTTCAGCATTCTTTTCAGTCACCCGTTGTCTTTTTTTATTTCCTGGCAGATATATGATCCAACGAAGAAATGGGAGCGTTATACCATCCACGGGGACTGATTCATCATCACAATTCACAAACATGGGAGACTGAATGCAGTTGCGAGTTGTTCCTCTTAAGCTGCACAGCAATATTAGTTTGAGGTTTGAGGTTCATTTACTGCAGTTACTCATTTTTTTTCCCTTTCACTTAGTGATCGAAGCAGAGATCAGGCAACGCAACGGTTTTAGCAGATTGTATACCTTAATTGGAAGTGTAACGAAATCTGTTACGAGCATTATGAGCATCGTTCATTTGCAATTTAATTTCGATTAGCTTCTTTTGGTCATGCAATTTCTTTGAGGTTCTCCTCTGAAGAGGTCTCAGATGGCATACGTTGTGCTTATGCTTTTAGAAATGGTACGTTCATAAATAAGTACATAGATTTAAGTAAACTAATACAATAGTTGGCTCTAATTTTACAACTTATTCGAATTATAAGCGCAAAAATCGAAAGCGCAGTGGCGTTATAGTATATATATATCCAATCTCATTTAGTGAAATAAGATTTTGTTATTGTTTGTAGTCTAATTATGAGAGTCGTGCTTGAATCAAACTCGTTTTATTTCGAAAAAAAATACGAACTGCTTATGAACTTTATGAGACGACTAGCTTGATTTTATACGTCAATATTGGAGAAAAGAATTTGGTCAAAGGCCACCAATCAACTAGCTATATTAAGGAATCGAACTCATCGTCTAACAGTGACATTTCTCATAAGGGGTTAAAATTATTAGACCGTGGTACAACTATGAAGTGATTAGTTCAGATACTTTTCTTACGTGGAGCCTACTATTTTGTTTAAGTGCCTCGCATTTAATTTACAATGAGCCTGCGTGCAAATGTTCTTAATCAACTAAGCAATTTCGAACCATGAACTTACGGTCCAAGAAAAGAGAAGAGTTTGACACAAAGCTGAAAAGAGAAAAATTTAACACAAAACCTCAAATACAAGTACGAATACTCTTAATCAAGTGAGCTATATTTAATGGTTAAGCAATCTACATGGAATATTCCTTCTACATATTGTTTGAGTGTTGAGGGTTTTTGTCAGTTCTCCATTCCCTTGTTGCTTCGTACCCACTGTTCTTGCAGCACCCGGTACACCTGATCTCTGCCCTCCCTCTGCCGCAGCAACCCTCCAAAATGAGGTTCTCCTTCTCTCTCCTCCCTCAATCTCTCTCTCTCTCTCTCTCTCTCTCTCTAGATTTCAATTTGATTAACTTTTTGTTGTCTTTTGTAGTGGGACCAGTCGGCACCCGGAGGTTCTGTGGGCGCAGCGCTCCGACAAGGTGTACCTGACGGTGGCGCTACCGGACGCCAAAGACATCACCGTCAAGTGCGAGCCTGAGGGATTATTCAGCTTCTCCGCCGTGGGAGTCCAAGGCGAGCCCTTTCACTTCACTCTCGAGCTGTACGGTCCAATAACCCCTGACGGCTGCAAAACCAGAACTGGGTTGCGGAACATTCTCTGCTCGATCCAGAAGGAGCAGAGAGGTTGGTGGAAGCGGTTGCTGAAGACGGAAGAGAAGCCGGCGCCCTACATTAAAGTTGATTGGAACAAATGGTGCGATGAGGACGAGGAAGGTGAGACTTGTGGCTTGTTTTTGTTTGTCAAGTTTCGATTATCGTCAATTGGGTTGTTTTTGTTTTAGCTGTTTGGTTTGTTATTGGTTTATTTTCGAATTTTAATCATGTTTTGATTGATGGGGTGTGTCTGATTATGATTTTGTCCAACTAGATTGTGAGATTGAGGTGAATGGTGAACCCAAGATGAACTTTCGTATGGATCACATTTCGATTTTCATTAAATCGGTTGCCTTTATTTTAGCTGTTTGATTCTGTTATCGGTTTATTTTTCAAAATTTTCTGATGTTTTGATTGATGGGGTTTGTCTGATTATGATTTTGTCCAACTTGTTTGTGAGCTTGAGGTGAACAGTGAACCCAAGATGAACTTTCATATAGATTGCCTTTCAATTTTCGTTAAATGGTTGCATTTATTGTGGCTGTTTGATTTTGTTATCGGTTTATTTTTCAAAATTTTGTGATGTTTTGGTTGATGGGGTTTGTCTGATTATGATTTTGTCTAACGAATTTGTGATTTTGAGGTGAATAGTGAAACCGAAATGAATTTTTGGATAGGAATGTGAAAAATGAGCATGAGGTGGCACGAAGTTCATAGCTTGTGTGTTTTCAAACTATCTGGAATATATGAGTGCATGTAAAGGCCCTACTTTGGCTAGTAGAATCATATATCTTGCCTTTCTCGTTGATGTGCTTGGCGTTGTTTGTCTGAGTAGTGAATGATTGAAATGAGAAAGCAGGACTATCTGGTGATTTGATTGCCTCACTGTAGTGTGTAGATAATGTTGGTTTCTAATTGCTCTAGCACATTAGATTGATTCTCTTTATGTCTATTTGTTGTTTACTATAAAGTTGTTGATATGTGTTGAGAAACCTCATTTCCAAGTGACATATAATAGCTCATCTGAAAACCGTTGACATGCTTAATAGGAAAATGGTACCCATCTTCTCTTGTGTAAGGTGAAAAAAAAAATGTTCCCCATATCGTTACCTAGTTTTTATCTACCTCCAGTTTTTGCACAATCTTTCTGGAAATTCAATTATATGAGGGCTTCAGTGGCTTAGGCTAATCCATAGAAATGATATGGCATCCCTGATCTTTTCATACCGTTATTGTTAATATGAAATGCCATGGTTGGTCAGGGGAATGCCAATTGGGCATGATTGCCGTTTTTAATTTGACACAATCTTTAGTATCATGTGCCTGCAAATTCAATATAGTTCTTGAGAGAGATTTTCCATGGATCTGACTCAACATTTGTGTTGTCTTTTGCAGCTGATTTGGCCCCCGATGATGATGATGATGATGCGGTAAATATGACACCTTATTTCATTTAGAATAATGGATTAGCTTCACCTAATCAGGTAAAATGGATTTTTTGTACTTTTGCAGTATGTTGGTCAAGATGGTGGAAGCAGTGACGACGAAGGAATGCTCTGTAAGTGTATTTTTTTATCTATTTTTCCTCTTGGTCCGTTGGTGATGTTAGTCACAGTTAATTTTATAGAAGCATGTGCATTTGGTAATTTTCGCTGCTTAGTCCTTACAAAGAGTTCCGCAAAGTTCCTTTTACTAGATGTGGCGGCTTAAACAGCAAGCCAGTGGCAGCATCCTCTGTTTGCCGAACTCACTTGATAATCTATACGCATAGCGAGGCACATAAACTGTCAAGTTGTTTTTTCTTTTAAACCAAATTTGTAGACTCTCAGTACATTCAACATTTCTCCTTATTGTCTCTGCATTTTAAGACATTGTGTAATCGAATGTGTAGTATAGAACGGTTTTTCTATTTAAAAACTACAAGTTCTTCTCTGTTATTCTCGAGTTACCTTCTGTCGTCAATTTGTCCTTGAAAAAGAAGAAACCCTAGCGATGCCATTTAGGACATTGCGGTTTCAGTCAGTTGTTGAAGGAATTAGAGTGAGTCATATGAAGTCTGTTGGAAATGTTAAGAAGTGCTGCACCTGCATCTCTTTCTCACGGTTCTTTAACACCCGGTTTTGGCTTGTTTACAGATCTTCCGGACCTGGAGAAGGCGAGAAAGTAGGAAGACGATGACGAAGTAGTGAGTTATATGAAGTTAGTTAAACTTGATGGAAGGCGAAACACTTTGACATGACAGATCCTTTGTAACTATTTGATCATATCCTCCTCATGCTCTAAACTTAGCATTATCTTTGGTTCTAACTCCATGGTTTCAAATTAATGTGACCTTAGCCCTTGTTCAGCCAGTCAGGGCTATAAACGAGCCGAGCCAAATTCAAAAAGTCTCTAAAAGCCATTAAAATTAAAGGAAAACTAATGAAAATGGCTTGAAAACTTTGGGTTTTAATGATAATGACAAAATAAAGGGTAAAGTGAATAGTATCATGATTGATTTTTTAATGTAAAAATATGGTTTTTCGTTAAAGTGAACAGTATTGAGAGTTTTTCGTTAAAGTTTCCTAAAATTAACTTCGTTTGAAAAATTATTTAAAGAAATGCCATGGATTTATGGACACAATTTGAGTTTTATTAAGTGATTTTGTATAGAGATATCTTTATAGAATAATTTACTATGATTTGGTCACGAAAATTTTTGAGTTCACTAGTCATTGAATAGTCGAGTACTGTTCAATAACCTTCAGTAACACATGGGAGATGCAAAACCAATGAAACGATGAGAGAAAATCGGTGTATTAATCCGTTGCAAAACCAATGGAACAATGAGAGCAAAGAGAAAATCGGTGTATTAATCCATCAACTTATCATTGTATTAATCCATCAGCTTATCGATTTGAGACGTAATGTTCACTTTGATTAACTTCATTAGAAGTGGTAATGTTCACTTTGATTAACTTCATTAGAAGTTTTGTCACGTAATGTTCACTTTGATTAACTTCATTAGAAGTTTTGTCGCTTATTCTCGCTCTTTAAACTCTTTATTTAGATGAAAGTTCAAAGATTAATACTCGCGACTTTTTGGTTCAAACAAACCAAAACCCACAGTTCGACCAGAATTCAGGAACCGATGCTCCAATATCTCAAAACAAATGGTGTAACGAAGGCCAGGAAGATTCGATCTCACTGAATCGAGGCGCGCATAAGAAGCTTGTCATGTAACAAACTCCATTATTATTACAATACAAGTTTTGCTGTAAAGGAAGTATGACAATAACACCACTTGTGTACAATCTATAGCTCTTAACGATGATATTTATTTACACATGGCCACACATCCAAGCTACCCTTCTTCTGTATCCATTTACTGCAGTATCGAAAAGAAACCGGAGAAACCATGCCAGACCGGAATCACAAGTGCAACGTAAACTATTTCGGGCAGTTGGCAGTCGGAAGCAGCCTTATCTAGCTAGTCTGCCTTGGACTGTCGAGTCTCGACAACACGGACAGGAATGACTGGAATTGAATCCCACCATTCTCTTAGTCGTCTGCTGCTTTGGTTCTCCCCCTTACCCATACCTAGTCTCGATGCCAATGTCGATGAGAAGCAACAAACTATGGCTGCCATTATAACGAACTTCACCGGAACCACCGTAAAAAATATTGCTGTCGCACTCAACAACACCATCGCCACATTTGCATGCTGCAACAACAATTAAACTTTGTTAGTTGGATTGATGCAATTAACACAAGTTATCAATCTCTTATATGCGCATGAGAAAAGTCGGCGTAACATAAGCATTGCGACATTTGAGCCTCTGAATTTAGAATATGTTTCGACTCTTGCAACTAATATTACGCATGCGTATAGATCTGGAAATTCACAGTGAATTGTAGAAGTGAAGATATAGCTTGGCTGCATATATAAATACCTTGCGTGCCTTCGAAATATATATGGACCACAACTTCAATATCGAAACATTTGCTATCTGCATCATCTCCTGCACAGTTTGCATTCCACGTTGAGCAGACACTATGCTTTCTATTGTACTCTGGTCCGAGGCGGTGCATACGACTATCTCATTGCATTTTATATCAAGTCTTTGCAGCCTGGCTCTAACCATCTTCGCAACCAGCCAAATGAATAAAGCGGCAAGTGCTATGCCAACCCATTCCCTGCATATCAAGAAGTTATTCTTCACAAAATCCAATTCACCAACTTGGAATTTTATTAAAGCTTACGCAGCACTGCAGCTAGCTAGAGAAACGACATACTGGTAGGTGACTACTAAAGTCGCAGCAACCACAGTGAGAGTAGTTGACGGTCTTTCCCACATGAGTACTTCTTCAAACCAAGGCACTGAATTCCTAAGGGGCCTTAGTAGCTCCTACACAATAAAACAAAGTCAGATTGATACGTGGATGTATGCGAAGGTACACGTTAGACGGAATATTAAGTATAATATAAACTAAGATATTTTTCGCCATTGATGGATCATGGAAATTCTTCTAGAGTGATATGGATGGGGTTAGATATTTACCAAAAAGATAGTAGCGCTTTCACTGATTCCCTCTTCTTTAAGTTCCTTTGTGGTAGCTTTGGCAATAGCAATATCCTTTTCTTCCTCTCTTGACTGATTAATTGCTGTTTCTAATAAGGAACTGTTTTCGACTTGACCGCTTGGAGTTGGGGTTGCATTTTCGCTGCTGCCAACTTCCATCTCTTGGTCTAAACCTGAGATGATCATCGACTCTGACAAGTTCATGCTCCTTAGGATTGAACTAGCACTACATGGATGCCCGCTATTGCTCTTCTTAAGACTCTCTGCAAGCTCTTCCAGTACGTAATCTCCCTTCGGTATCTCATCGAACAAAGAAAAAATTAAGAATCTTGTTGGTGGAGGGGGTGATATTCTTAGCATCTCTCTTGCTGCATGGAGCCTTGTTATTGCTAGGATTGTCCTTGAATGCATCTCCCATGCTTGTATCGGACAATTTATTTCATACTTTGCTACGAAACGATGCATCAACATAATCTCCTTTGAGAGCGCAAGCCAAAGGTCACGCCTTGTAGAGCTTGTTACCTCGGGGAACTCCAGGACAATCTCCTCTGATCTAGAAATTTGGTGAAACAAATCATTAATCTATAACAACAATATAAGATTTTAACAAACTTCATGTAGTTGTGTTTCTGTTTGGTCAATGTCGCATCCACACAGCGTCGCAAGGAGCACTAGAAATCCCAGCGAAGATTTTGGTTTTTCAGTGTGTCAAATACTAGTTTCTACTAGTTTCTAAACGCGCGACACATAGATTGATTAGCTATTTGGTGCTTTGGGTAAGACTAAAAAATGAATGCAAGATTTCGGATAAATACTTAAATTCATAAATGCAGAGCATATGCCCTCACAATTCAGGAGACTCGTAAATTATAGCCTTGTCAAAAAGTGGAGCACCCCATGGCCCTGTTGAAGCTGGTTTCACCGTTTGCTCCATATCCTTCGAAAGGTCTATTTTAAGAGCATCTTCATATGTTAATACTCCAGAAGCCTCGAAATAGAGTGCGTAATTCGTTAGCGTAAGCCTACCTGAAATACCAATGCATGGTTAGCCATATCAAATCGATTACTTAATTATATATGGGGAAAAGAAACTATATATAAGACATGAGATGATCAAAGTTCTCTTTTCTAAACAAACCAGGCCAACTTGTTCCTCCAATGTGGCGCACTACTCGCTGTGTGCTAGCAGTTCCCTCGACGTGTAAAATGAATTCGTCGTCTGCAAGCTCCACACCCTTCGGTTTTGCATGTTTTGCCAAATATTTTATACATCTATAAAATCAAAACAGTACAAAAAGGGAAAAGTTGAAACAATCTTAAAGAAACTTCAAATGCAAGCATTCTTTATAAGTTACACTACCATTTATACTGTCTATTCCCCTAAATGTATTGTACCAAATTTAATTACTCTTTGCATGTTATTATTTCAAAGAAAAAGGTTCAGCTAAGGTATAACGAGTGTCTCCAACAGTATTAGTATTGGGTATGCGTCGACGCATCATACAAATGAAATATATGGTTATAGATGCATCACCTATCAATTTCCTTTAAAAATTTGTCATAGGAAGGAAAATGGAGCCGGTTTCCCGTAGGCACCGTTAAAGTTTCAAAGGTAAATCTCCCATTAACAACATCTGTAACTAGTGGAACCAGCGACCCCATCCAAACAAATGCATCTTCTCCAACATTTTTCTCATTGTCAACCTGCCAGACAGTAGGTGAAGAACGAATAGAAACAAAACATAATTACAACTACAACGAGGAACAAAAGATTAGGGTTCAAGCAACGACCATTACTTTAACCTAGAACTTAGTTTAGTCCAACTTTCCATCTCTCTATGTATCTCGAAAAAAAAATTACAAAAAACGAAATTAAATCTTAAGAAATGATATAGCTTACAAGAAGCGGCATAAGATCTGAATAGAACAGAGAGATGTCATCTTGTTCTGAAAGACACTTTTGCGGCAATTTTTTCTCTTCTTTCTCCTTCGCCACACACTCCTGCAAAAACCCAAAAACATGACATTTGAACAATAACAAAAGAAACAACAAAAGGGCGATCCCAAGCCAACAAGGCTCCCACTTTGTGAGGGGAGGAATGTCTATCGTACACAGTCTTACCTTGCTTTGCAAAGAGTAAGGGTAAGGCTGCGTACATGTGTTTCCTTCCATACAAATATAAATATATCAATGCATCATAATAGTTCAATCAATATTGTAAATATGGTGGAGAAATCATATGTAATTTATATATGTTTCAATGTATTATATAGATATAGTCCTGATTGTGAAGTTGTTAACAAACTAACTAATTACGAACATAATTATGCAACTATTTTTTTCTCTTCAATAAAAAACAACCGTACGTTTAGTGGTGAATACCACATCCACCTCTGTGTGAGAGTTTAGGTGTTTCTAGGTTCGACTTCCATGAATGGTAAATTCTTCGATACCAAAATTTTTTCACTTCAACATCATCATGAGGCTTAGCCAAATCCCCGTTAGTAGCAACAGAAACAATCAAATTACGAACATAATTAATTACCGTAAAAGATTCCTCGTCAGCAGAGGTAGGCATCTCCCAAGCTAGCATCATGTCGAAGGTGAAGCGGCTAAAAGAGCCATTGGCAATCTTTTCCTCAATGGTTTTGCACATGTCACAACTCTGCATAACCTTGGCACTGCAAAATTCTACGAATTTCCTCCCATAACTATTCCTATTGTTGTTGTTGTTACTACTGATAGTAGCAGCACCAACCGGCGCCGTTTCATCCGTCTTCCATATAGTTTCAAATTCCTCCA